GAAAAATTGTGCTGCATTCACTGGGAAATTTTTTTTAGCATCTTTCTATTGGCATTGAAAGGCCGGAAACTTGGACTACGGGTTCCTGGTGTGGCTGTGTGCCTTTTGATCTCCCTCAGAACCAATACTCCCCTAAAAAGACCGGGCAAACAAAGCCAGAGCACCCTAGCCTGGATAATCTGTTTGTACATGCTCAAAGGGACTCAGAGATTCAGAGCTAATGGCTCCAAAGCTCCTGCTGCCATGGATAAGTTCCAGCCAAAGCCTGCAGGGAGGAAACTTTTCTTGTCAGCTAGAAGACATAATAGCAGTGAGCACAAGAGCTGAAAGCAGGGAACCCTTTTCCCTTTGTAGTGTTAATGCTGAAGAACAGACAGCAAGTAAAGTAAAAATAAAAAGCTTCCTGGCTTAAATACAGCAGTGTAAACATGAGGTAGGCTTTGCATGGTTGAGCTGGTAGCACTGGAGCTAGAGCCCAGGAAAAGTCTCAAGACTGGTAGCATTGCTGGGATGAAAACAGGCAAAATACTTAGGTCTAGGAAGGCAGAGAAACAAGGACTGAAGACAAGGAGGTAGTAACTGTAGCCACTACAGCCAAGTTGAAAGAAAGATTTAGTTTAAAGGACCAGGTTTCTAGAATAAAGGCTGTAGTCTAGATTACAAACCACCTGCCTGCCACCCAGAAAACCACCCATAACTGAAAAGCAGAGCGTGCATCTGTCAAGCACCCAGCTAACTAGGCATCAGTAGGAAACTGGATTACTTACAGCACCTGGGAAGGAAAGCAGTCAACAACAAATGTGGTGGCATGTCAGTGTGCTTCCCCCCCTGCCCCAGCCTGACCTTTACCTTCCCTAACCTTGCTCAAGTTTAACTACCCATGGGGGTCATAATGCATACTTCTGGTTCTGAAGGCTGCACCCGACTCAGACTGGGATTGGGGGAGACACAATGGCCAAGGGCTAATCTGAACAATGTGCCCAACTAACCACGGTGCTGGCCAATGTCTGACTCAAGACAAGTTCACATGAAACCGCTGATACGTAAATATGGCCACAAGTCAATTATCCATAAACAGTTGACAGCTCAAGGCCCTTTGAAATCTCCTGCGCAGCAGCAGGCTGCAGGCCAGGATTTTGCCTTGAGTAGGGACACCTCTCAAGGCTATTCCTTAAGGTTGAGAGAGTCCTTGCCTTGCCACAGCAGACTCTCAGCGAATGATGATCAGCATGTGTCTCCAGTTTGACCTGTTGGAAGTGAGAAAGTGGAAACAATTGTTTCTGGGAGACGGGCTGTGTGCCTTTCCTGAACTGGCACAGCAACTTACCCTTGAGTTTCCTAAGGACCCATTCTCAATACAAACCTGTAAAGGTTCATTACATCGCATTCTCCAATTCCTTAATGAAGACAGTGAACAACAACAGCCCCAGTCCCAATTGCTGCAGTAGTAATCAGATGCCAGCTGGACTTTGTACCACTGATCACAGACGGCATCCCTCTGAGCCCAGCTGGTCAGCTAATTTTCCACCCACTGTGTAGGTCACTTATCCAAACCGTCTCTCTCCAATTTGGCTACAAGAATGCTATGAGAAACCACGTCAAGAGCCTCGTTAAAGGTAAATAACATTTTCCACAATCCCTTTGTCCACAGAATCTGTCATGTCATCATAAAAAGCAATCAGGTTGGTCAGGTATGATTTACCCTTCTAAATCCACACTGACTGTTCCAAATGACATTATCCTTACTGTATTTGGGTGTAAAAAAGATTCTTCTATAATATTCCAGAAAAAAGTTTGGCAGTCCAGTCTCCTCTCGTTTTGTGGTTCATTTTCAAAAACAAGAAGATGAGTGGCAAATTACATTTATCTTTTTATACTGATGGGGAACCTCATCCACGACTCTCTTATGGCATAAAGGCAAGACCTATAGAAGTCATAGCTCTCCCTTCTGACACAGAAAGTTTCCTAGAAGGGAAAGGGAACAAGAGAGAAGACAGACTCCAACAGCGTAAGATGTTGCACACCCACATCCTACAGTTCTGTATCTGTCAGGGCTCAGAAGGGAGCAGGGCCCAGAAGCTGAGGAAGATACCATGACTGGCAAGGCAGGGGCCTCACCAGCCAAGGCCCGAGCCCAACAGTACCCACGCAAGACAAGCAGGACAGGGATGGTAACCAGGGTCAAAACAGAGTCCAGCTCATCAGATAAGCTGTGAAGCCGATCTGTGGGCCAGGATCAGATCCAGTGATGGTAACCAGGGTCAGACATGGCCATGACTGACAGGCAGCTCCATAGTAGTAACATATATCTCAGTCCAGGCAGGAAGACCATTCATGGGTCAGGGTCTGGATCAACATGCAATTTCCATGCCCACACACAGGCATGGCTGTAACAGCACTGGAGACAGGCAGACCTTGAACATCACCCAGTCAGGGACTGAAGCCCTGGCTTGACGTGAAACAAGAGTTCCTTAACCCATGAGCAGGAGGTATGGGTGGAGGTCCCACACATGGATGATCAGGACCATTAAGACCTAGTTAGTGCTCTCAAACTCAAGACAGGATCCGCAGTTTGTTCAAAGTAACTTCAGTGGTGACACTCATATTAAAAGTCCTGTCAAGTACAGGAAACACACAAGGGGCACACACCACATTCATGACAGGTCCCTTCAGTGCTAGCGAATGCCCTCATGCTCATATTTGTCAGTTCAAGAAACATAGTTCTCATTTTTTCACAGTAGCCACATCTAGGTGGATGTCAACATCTTGCCTGGCCAAGGGCATCATGACTTCAGTCAGCACCGTGAGGAGCAGGAGAAACGACAACTGAATAAGGGCATCTAGCACAGTCCTCTTAGTACACAAGCACACACAGCAATGATGCACTAAGTGTAGCACAGGCTAGAGGGCAGCTCTAACTGCAAAGTACTTCAAGTGCAAAGTGTTATGGGATAGCTACTGAGCCAACACATGAGATAAACAGAAAGAATGTGTCTCAAAGATCCTAGCCGAAGCTGTAGAAAAGTGTAGGCACAAGTCACCATGTAAACATGGTCACAGAGCCAAATTCCTTCAAACAAGAGAGTTAAAAGATGCAGCTGTATCCACTGAGACTCGAAACTGGCTCTCTCACTTAGTGGGTGCACAAGGTCACTGAGTAAACTTCTTCAAATATTTAGAATACAATCATCACGGGTCAATGGATGAAAATAATTTCCTATTGAAAAGAATTCACTCAAGCATTTAAGTCAGCTTCATGTATCATTATATAGAACAAAACTCAAAGTAAATTCTTGACAGGAACTATGTGTTGTTTGTACTGGGTACACTTAAGGCTACAATGAATCTTCCTTAATGCAGGCAGTACAATGCACATGCTAAACTCTCAAGAAAATGAAAAATAAAACCTCAGTGCTGCTAACATTATTACAAAATTCTCCAGTGGCAACATTTCCCACAGACAAATAGCTGGGCATCCAGCCAGAAAAACCTAAGTTACCAAGACACCTGTGCCAGAGAGGAACGGAGTTAAAAAAACCTCCCAAATAGTTCCCTAGCTCAAGAGAAGTGTACCCATAATGGAAGGGGAGGATTTCTCTCTCTCAAAAAAGCCAGTTTTTAGTTTAACACACAGATAGAACTAGGAAATTCCAGTGTTATGCTTCACAGGGTAATTACATCCAAGATGCCTACAAGCATGCATCTTCAGGAATGGAGTTGTACTGATGGCTTTTAAATAATCCAAGTCAGAGTGGAGTGGGGGAAAATGCCAAAGAAAAAAACATTCCTACATGCTGGTAGAAGTCCATCAGAAAAAGCTTGGACATAAGTTCAACTCTCACTTGCAGCTATGAAGCCTTTTAAGAAGGAAGATCTGGCACTTATTTTCAAGCTGCTTTTCATTTATAGGAGTATTTTCAACACCTATTTAACTAACTGCAGTAAAGACAACTTCATATTTTTAAACTAAAAAGATGAGGCATAGCCTTCAAAAGTTTATTTCAAGTATAAAAATGGTTCAATGAAATATCTACAGTTTTTGCTTCCAGTATAAAGGTTTAAACACATAGAAAGAATCAAGTACCAAGTCTCTGAAAAAATACGATTCAATTCAAAGTCCGAACAGTAATGAAAAGGCACTTACAAAAGACATCCAGCAACAACTCTTATGTCACAGTGAATATGTACTCAAATGTTATCTAACACTTTATAAACAAAGAAATTAATTACAGTCTGGTTAAAGTGAGCAACATTGTCTGGACAAGAGTGAATTCAAACTCCCTGCACTTGAACAATCACACTTTTCTTTCAAGTGTAAAGAAAGAGACAGAAAAACAAGTTAAGTCTTCAGTCAACTATCAGTTTACAGCACTGAAGAAATATAAGAAGACTGCGTAGCAGCATAAATACTTCATGACATCCCCTGATCTGTATGTTTGATTTAAGGAGTTTATATTTGAATTCCCAGTTCGATACAAAAAACGGAAATAAGAGTTTCTACAAAAATAGAAAGTCTTGTTAGAAACACAACAGTCAGACTAGCATAAGTAGAAAATTTAAGTTGTAATGCTTGGGAATCCACTGCAATCATTTTCCAGTAGGAATGTTTTTCCACTGCCAGCAATGGAAAGTAACACAAGTAGAAGTTTCCCAGAATCAGAAAAGACTATGACAATACAAGTGAGGGTTTTTTGGTCAAGATTCAACTAACTCCTGTATCTTTAAAAAGAAATAAAAGGCAAGACTCAACTATGCTCAAAAGAAACAACACATTTGACAACAGCATTTTCAGCACCAAAGCAGATTTGTGCAATAAATACAGAATAAGATCTCAGTCGTTGACAAATGTGAGGCAAATGGCAGAAAAAATAGCCAACACCCCCCAAAAAATACATTTCTTTACAATTATTCAGAAATATGAAGTAAACAAGAAAAAGCCTTTTGGTGTTGGCAGTTTTCTCCTAGTGATACTGAAAAAGACCTGTTTTACAGGAGTGCTATCAAGGCTTTTGCATCTTTTTTTCCAGATACATTTTTCTGTAGGTCTGAAACACCTCTTTTGAGTCTTTGCTTGGAATGTGATGAGCCTCACCATCTCCATCCAGGATCTGCATAGCTGTATCAAGTGGAATACTGTCCTCAGCTGAAAGACAGACAGAGAAGCGGGTTAAAGCAAAAGTCTAAGTTTCCCAAATGACTCTACTCCTCCTTATGCACGAGGTATTTTAGACTACCTCGTCAAAAAAAGCACCAGACGCGTGAAATCAATCTCCAGTGCATCCTCAAGCAGCAAATGGTCATTTGGATGTCTTCATAAGAGAGATTCCCAAAGAACATTAAGAAAGGTGTGAATGAAAGTGTGCATCTGTGAAAGCAACAGAAGCAGCAAGTGGAAGGGCTAAAAGAATGGCAGGAACCAGTGCCCAAGGACACATTCAACAGCAATAAAAGATGCAAATATTGCAAAATGCATTGCTTGCATTAAGACAGCAACACAGATAATTTATCAGCCAAGGACTTGCATTCTGATAAGAGGATAGCAACAAAGTTACAGCATGCTGAACATTTTGCTTTTCTGTAAATCCAGTAGGAAAACAAAACTAGAGCCAGAAAGAATTCTAAAGCAAAGAAACAAAGACAGCAGGGAACAATCTCACCCAAAATTTACAAAGGATGGAATAACCAAGATTCTGAGATGAAACATGCCACTTTTGTAACTGCTGACTCCTAAATGGTACAGAAGACCGTCCAAAAAGCAACTTGCCCATCACGAGAAACAAGGAAAATGTAGTAGTGGCACGAATTTTCCTCTGTGTACCATACAAGTAATTCTGTCCACATTACTGGGACACACAGGTCCCAGTACTTGTGAGCACGGATGTATGGGCAGACAGCATCAACTTAGTGTGAAAGCCAAACAAAATTTGAAAAAAATCACTTTGTCTAGGTTTAGCCCATACTTGAGGCTGAAGAATAGCAGCTGTTCTATCACCCAATGACCCCTCGCCAGACAATAAGGGGAATAGGAAAAGGAGGAGACCCATGGTTTGAAATTGGAAAAGATTTAATGAAACAGCTACTGCCAATACACAGCATACAAAGTAACAGTGAACGAATGGCAGTCACGATAAATGGGAAAGCAGTCCTTGGGAGCAGAACAATTAGCAAGCCCCTTCAGGGATGGAAAGAAGCAGAAGGAAGAGGAGGAGCAGGAGCCCAAAAAGCCCCATCCTCAGCAATACTTGCCCCTGAGCCTGATGTTTATAGGGTGGGATATCCCTGTAGCCAGCTCAGGCTGTTGCCCATCCCAGCTCAAGCTCCTGGCTGAGGGCCTGCACGCCATGGCTGGCCTCTGATTCTGTCCCAGCAACACCAGGACACTGGTTTTGTATTCTCAGATCAGACTTTGTTACATCTCTTCCTACATTTTAAACTGGGAAAGAATTAGCTTGGTCTTTACCTACAGTTTAAAATTGTACTTGCGTCTTGTCATCAGTGCTACCTCTGATTCAACTGCATACGCATTGGCAGGAAAATTCCAGCAACAATCTTATGGCAATAAAAATCACCGCAAATCTTTGAAACTTTTATGTCTACTCTACTGCACCCATTTCAGCAGCAGAGCTAGCCAAGAGTAAGTTAAAACACTTTATTAAGATTTTCTACTGTGAAACAACATTTAAAATAAAGCAACGAGTTTTTAAGTCATGTTTCAAAATGGATAATCAGATGTCATTTCACCTGCAGAGTTTTCCTCCAGCTTTTTTTGCTTCATTGGATCACATTTTAACCAATCTTCTTTCTTACTCTTGACACCTAAAGAGAAAGTTTTTTAAAATGTTTTTGAGGTTCCTATATCATAAGTTCTGCTCTCTATCCAGCATCAAGTTTTAACACATATACTAGCATATGCAAAAGGAAATTTGCTTTGAGTGTGAAAATGACTGCAAGGGCTGGTATGTACAACTTAATTTGGTTTTATTTAAAAATCAAATAGAGCATTTGAAACTAATACGCTTCACAAGGCACCACCATGTAAAATGCTGAAAGATGGGGGATAGGGTAGAGAAGAAAAAAAAGCAGCTTAAAATAAAGATGCCAAAGGTTACGGAGACTGTGCCCAGGATGTGTCTGGCCCAAACCCTCTCTCTTCCTCAATGCCACACAGGAGTTCTCTCCACCATCTTCTCAGACAGATTTATACACAACCAGGTGAACACTGAACAGAAATCAAATCAACTTTGGCAACTAAGCCAAGGGAATCTGCTTTCTACAAACAAGTCAAGCTACCTTCTACAAGTAGATTAAAAAGCCTTTTCACAAAGTGACTTGAAACTGCCATGCTCTAAGCTACTCTTTTGTTCTGTAAAACTTAAGGAAAAAGAAAAAAAACACCAAAAATATTAAATGGAAGGAAAAGTCTCATGTTAGAATCATAGAATCTTTAAGGTTGGAAAAGACCTCTAAGATCATCGAGTCCAACCATCAACCCCAACACTACTATGACCACTAAACCCTGTCCCAAAGTGCTGCTTCTAAACATTTTTTGAACACCTCCAGGGATGGTGACTCCATCACTTCCCTGAGCAGCCTGTTCCAATGCTTGACCATTCTTTCAGCAAAGAAATTCTTCCTAATATCCAGTCTAAACCTCCCCTGGCACAACTTGAGCTCATTTCCTCTTGTCCTATCACTAGTTACCTGAGAGAAGAGACCAACACCGACCTCCCTACAACCACCTTTCAGGCAAAAGTAGAGAGCAATAAGGTCTCCCCTCAACCTGTTCTTCTCTAGCCTGAACAACCCCAGTTCCCTCAGCTGCTCTTCATAAAACTTAATTTTCCAGACCTCTCACCAGCTTTGTTACCCTTCTCCAGACCCACCCCAGCACCTCAAAGTTTTCCTTGTACTGCAGCACCCTAAACTGAACACAGTACTCAAGCTGTGGTCTCACAGGACCAAATGCAGGAGGACAATAATTTTCCTGCTTCCACTGACTGCACTACTTCTGATACAGGCCAGGATGCTGTTGGCCTTCTTAGCCACCTGGGCACACTGATGGGTCACATTCAGCCGGCTGTCTGCCAGCACCCCCAGATCCTTTTCCACCAGGCAGCTTTCCAGCCACTCCTCCCTAAGCCTGTAGTACTGCCTGGGGTTGTTATGACCAAAGTGCAGAACTTCGCACTTGGCTTTGTTAAACCTCCTACAATTAACCTCAGCTCATCAATCTAGCCTGTCCAGATCCCTCTGTAGAGCCTTCCTACCTTTAAGCAAATCAACACTCCCACTCAGTTTGGTGTTATCTGCAAACTTAGTGAGGGAGGACTTAATTCCCTCATCCAGATCACTGATAAAGATATTCAGGAAGACTATCCCCAAAACTGAGCCCTGACGAACACCACTGGTGACCATCCACCAACTGGATTTAGCTCCATTCACCACAACTCTCTGGCAAAGAGCACATCTCTGTAATCCATGAGCCGCCAGCCTCCCTAGCAGAATGCTGTGGGAGATGGTGTCACAAGCCTTTACTATAGCCCAGGTAGACAATGTCCACAGCCTTCCCCTCATTCACTGTGTCAGTCACCTGGTCACAGAAGATAAGGGTGGTCAAGCAAGGACTCGCCTTTCACGAACCCGTGCCGGCTGGGCCTAAACCCTTGGTTGTCCTGCTTGTGCTGTGTGAGCGTACTCAAGATGAATCGCTCCATAATCTTCCCTAGCACTGAGGTCAGGCTGAGAGGCATATAGTTCCCCGGATCCTCCTTCCAGTCCTTCTTGTAGATAGGTGGCACAGTGGCAAGCCTCCCGTTGTCTGAGACCTCCCCTGTTAACCAGGACTGCTGATCAATGATGGAGAGTGGCTTGTCCTTTTTCATCTAACACACAGCTACAGTTACGTCAGAAAACCAGCTAAGCTATTTCAATCTTCAGCTTCTGCAGTCCTATGCTTTCACTCTCTGTAGTTTTGTGTAACTGGAATTTTAAAAGCAGAATATACATCTTACTTGCATGTTTATTTACTTACAAACTAATAATCAAGATAGCATCATACCTGCCACAGTGGCTTTCTCTCTTTCCAGGGAATTCTTCGCAGCTAAGTTTTTTTCATCAGCAGTTGGATTTCTGAACAGGATCTCTGGACATAGCTTAAATTCAAGGAGATCCGGTTTGCACGATTTCTCAAGTTCTGCGACAGAAGCATCTCTTTTCACATCTGGGCTGTTTTGTGACACTTTGGGCTTTGTATGCCAGACGGGTCTGACAGGTGATGTCTCTAATTTTGTCAGATATATGCGTTCCTGCGCCGTACGTTTAAATGCAACTCTGTTTAGGTAGTGTATTTTTGGCTCCTTCTGAAGATGCAATTTTAATTTATTATTTCTTCTATTTAAGTATAGCAGGTTTTTATCAGGAAACATTTTCTCGGAGCGCTTGTCTTTGTTTTGACCATCAAGATGCTTCTCTTTGTTAGAAAAGTAGTTTTTAGAGATGGTAGAAGATCTAGCCCTTTTTCTTTGTAGTTTAAGCACAGAACGATCTGCTAATGAACTCTTCGGTTTCCAGTTATTTTCTCCATTCAATTTTTTAGCTTTGTCAGTATTTATTATGCAATTATGTGTAAGCTGCTTGGAATTCTTTGCTTCAGATTGTTTCAGTCTTTCCTCTTCCACTTTTGCTTTCTTAGGGTCTCTCTTCCCAATCAAATTTTCCTTCATCTTCCGTTTGTATGACTGCTCCTGTGAAGAATGAACTTTGACGGATTTATGCGGAGAGCATTTGGGGTTTCTTGACTTTAAATCTACAGTACCAAAATTTGGAAACTTTATAGCATCAACACGACTACTATTCAGCTTTTTAGGTTTTATTTCTGCTGATAATTTGGCTCTCTCTTTGATATTAATTCCTACATCTTGCCCAAGTATCTCCTTTTCTCTCCTACCATTCTGTTCTTCAGTCGAGTTCTCTTTCCAGGTCTTAATTTTTTGCCCTTGACTGACTTCAGTCTGCTTAATTTTGACAGTTTCTGACTTTGCAAATTTGTGAATGTCTGTTTTAGATTTCATGGCCAAACCTGTCTTAGTTTTATCTTTTGAAAGGGACTCAATTTTGAAAACTCCCTCTTTTTTTTTTGCTGACATCGTCACGTTGCCTGCATCTGCACGACTAGCTTTCTCTGGCAACTCTTCTGAGGCTGTCTGATGTCGTTTTTTGGCAGGACAAAATTCTTTGCCTATCAACGGGGTTCGCTTGGTGATTTGCAGGTCTTCCTTCCAGCTGCTCCTTTTAGATTTATCATCATCCTGGTTTTCAGAGGAATTAAGAAGTCCATTTTTTTCCTGCTGTGTGGTAAGTGGGTTGTAGTCGTCATTCACCTTCAGCACAGCTTCTTCGTTCATTACAGAGGTGTATTTGCAAATATCTTTTTTACTACTGCCAACATTTTTTTCAATTTTTTCCGAAACTGGCAGATTTCCCACCACACAGCTGCTCTTCGTTACAGCATCCGATTTAGTGTTGTTTTCTTGTTTCTCTGCAGAGCCAGTATTTTCAGCTTTAGGAAGCTGACCATCATTTTTCTCTGAACCAAGCGTTCCAGTTTCATTGGACCACTGTGGTGTTTTGCATGCTGCAGATTGCCAATCCATTAAAGAACAATCTTCATTTTTTTCTCCACTAGGGTTGGAGGTTTTTTGTGGTTTTCTTTGATTTTCGCAGGGAGTCTGACTAGGCTGACTACTGCCTTCAAAGCTCTCCTTCTCCGCTGAAGCCTCTTCTGCCTGTTGGCTCGCTTCCCTCTTGCTGTCACTAGAGGAACATGGGTTGCATTCAGTAGACAGTTCTTGCATCTGACTCGAGCTTAACACCGCAACTTTTATCTGATCTACTGGATCCTTCGCTTGAGAACTTCTGTCACAAATTTGAGTCTCTTTTTGAGGTTGCTCCTCTGTCCGCTCAGCCACAGAATGCTTTTGTACCGAATCTTTTGTCAGCCAGTCAGCACCTTCAATACCATACGGAAACTCTTTAATTAGCTCACACAGCTGATTGTTTAGACATTTAACAGGTTCTGCTCCAAAAAGGTCCATCTCTGTTTCGAGGCTATTTTTACTGGACATGTTATTTTGTTTACCGTTGTCTCTTGGAACAGTGAACACATCTGTTTCAGCACTTAGGCTGATCGAGAAATCCAGTGATTTTTGAGCTAACTGCTGGTTTATACTAGCAGGAATTTCCAAGACTTTTTCAGCATGTTTGAAAGATGAATCGAGTGACATTTTTTGTTCTGAGGTAGAAAACATTTTAGGAGGATTGCCACTGCCTTCTTTCTCCAAATAACTAGTTGTGATACCATCTCTAATCTGACCTGCTTTATTCATAGAGCTCGAGGACTCTTCCAACATCTTTTGCAGCAAGGTCTCTCTTTGGGGAGTGTTACTGCTCAGCTCATTTTTATACAAGTCCAGTCGTTGATCCCTTTGCTTTGGGTCACATGTATTTCCTTCTGATGAGATACCGTTTAACGCATGTGTCTCAGGGACTGACCTGAAGATACTTGCTATCTGTGGGTTATAAAATGCATCACCTTCAACAAGAGAACATACACTAGAAATACAAATCATCTGTTCTTCCAGCACAGTTGTGGATATATCTCCCGTCTCTAACACAGCTTTCTTGTCTTTATGGTCTCTTATGCCTTCTTGAAAGATTTGATGAGAAAAATTGAGGCTCAATTCAGGAAGAGGAGGCTTGCTTTGTAATCCAAATGGCAGATTTTCACTGGCATCTTGTGCAGATTGACTGCCTTTCCTTTCATCTTCATTGTATGAATCACTTGCACTCGCACTGTTTTGTACTATTCTGTTTTCATCAGCTAATTTGGTTTGTTGCAAATTTGAATCCACCTTCTGTGCCAGAACACAATCACTGGGTGATGACTGAACAGCTTCTATTGTTCCTTTATCAATATTTACCACACTTAAACCATTTTTCCCCTCTTCTTGCAAGCAACATGTGTTTCCTGAGTCAATCGCTGGATAGGTTTCGCCCATAGACGTTGGACAGTTACCTGCCTGCTCACTCTGTGTTCTCTGTTCAGAAAGTACTAAAGGAGAGACAACTGCAACTTGGAGTTCAAAACCTTTTAGCAAATTGCAACCAGATGTATCAAGTTTTTGTCCTACAGAGGCAGCTGTTATAGGCAAATTTACTTCACCTGCACTAACCAGGACATTATTTTGTTCTCTATTTTTTGTGTTTTGGCTGCAAGGTGAAATCCAATTTGCTGTGACGCTCTCTTTCGACTGGCTATTTTGCATGTTTACAGATTCCGATGGATGCTTTCTCCATAAGCCCAAGCACGCATTTAGCTCTTCCATACTATAAGTGCTCTGTTTCAAAGATGCATTTTCAGTAAGTGGCTTTTTTTTCTGAGCTGCATCACTTTGGATTTTAGCTCCACCGGATTCAGTTGCTCCTGATACAGGAGCGTGTGTATGAACCTTAGATGCCTGCTCACCTTTCAAACCTTCCGTGCTCTTCTCACCAGTGTCTTTCAGTAGGCTTCCACTCAAGATAGATGAATCTACCAGTGGTTTTTCCTTACATAGGAGACTGGTCAGTATTTTATCAGCAGTAGCACCAGCTGTCTTCTCCTTCAATACATTTGTGCTGCTCAATACAAACTGCAAAAACGATGAGTTCTCAGGGTAAGCTGGCATATTTTTTGACGTGTTTTTGGCAGAGACATCTACTTGACTAAAACATGAAGCATTGTTCAAGGATTTCACAGCTTTTTGAGAAGAGGCCAAGGCATGTGCCTTCCTTTGTTCCAAGATGGGGGTGCTCTCAAGTTTATTTAACTGAGCTGGGAGTTTGCTCTGAGAGGGAACAGGAGCAGAGCTGGATGGAAGGCTTCCCTGCTCCACCTTACTTTGAGTCACCTCTAAACCTTTGTTATCAGCACTGGCTACATTTTTGTCATTTCTTCCTTCAGATGAAGGGTTACTTATTAGACTCTCTGTCCTCACTGTTTCGGATGGGGAAGGTGGTACGTTTTGGTTGGGCACCTGTGGAAGACAATTAGCAAGAGTACTTTGATAACTTGGAGGATGTGGGGGAGTACTTTTGCGATGTTCTGAAGCTGCTAGGAGTTTTCTTTTATAATGATGCATCCTTTCAAGCAAGATGCATTTTTTTTTAATAGTGAGCAGCTTTTGAGCTTCCCAAGCTAGACTGGCCTTTGCATTTGATGTTACAACTGCTGCTGCTGTGGAAATCTGAGAATTAACAGGCTCGTTTGTTAAATTTCTGGTCTGGCTTTCTTGAACTGAAGCAGTATGACTCAGAGGCTTTGAAGCAGACGCTGAAGAAAGACTTTCCAATTCTCGCACAATTTTGTATAGCTCTTTGGAAATACCAGAGGGTGGTGCACACATTTCATTAAAAGGCTGATTTGCTGTCACATTTCCACCTGAATTACAGACATTCCTAACTGATTGATTGACTTCTCCGGATTGCTGTTGCTGAACACTATTAAAAAGAGAAGCATTTTTTGGATCCGAGGGGCGTCTTTGTTGACTAAGGTTGTATCTATTTTGAACTGCCTGTGGTACACCCATTGAAGACTGGGCTACAGCTCTTGAATCACAGTTGGCTGGCAACAGAGAACACCCACTAGGAGCCTGTGATCCCATCTGATTCGGTTGATACTGTAGCAGCTGTACATTTGCTTCAGTATTTTGATTCAGTGAGTGCAAAACTTCAAACTGAGAGTTGGGATTACGTATTTGGGTTTGGACATGTTGCCCAGACATACCAAGAGACACAGAAGTATTCTGGGAATGAACATTACTTTGATATAACATTGTAGTTCCCACAGAATTAGGCTGCAGTATCTGTGGCTGCACAACGTAACTGTTTGTGGCAACATACTGAGTTTCCTGAAGTACATTCCTCAAGTTATTTCCAGCATTCGTTTGACAAGACTGGGGTGGTAACTTTGTAAGGGAATAAACGTAGGCATTAGAGATTGGCCAAGAAGTCTGAGTCACCTCTGCACACAAATGTGATGTCTGATTGGGAGGTTTTGGAGCCACTGGTACGCAGGATGTTGAATGACGATCAACTGAGTGTTTTGTGATAAAAAAGTCATTACCAGCTACAGACGCTCCTGTTAAGGCCTGATTTGAAGCACTGAATCCTTCAGCATTTACAATAGTGTAGGTAACATTGCTAGTTGGTGCATACATCATTTGGTTATTTCCACCATAAGTGCATGCGTTTTTAGAGGAATAGGCATTTGTCTGAGGAAAAGCATGAGCATTAGAAAGCAACTGAGTGTAATGGGCTGCTTCACTTGGCAGGTTCTTTGCACCAGTATTCTGCGTTGGTCTCACATTCCAGTTCATCTTTTCCTGATTTCTTTTTCTTCAGTTAAAATTCACGATGTCTAAACTAAAATAAATAAATAAATAATATCAACTCTTAATCTTTTAATTAAAACTTATTTCACTTACCAAGAAGTAATGCCTTACGACAGAACTATTGCACTTAAATTTCTAGGTAGAGGAGCAACTCCACTGGCACATCCTGGGGACTTACGTGTTATCAACATCAAGTTGCATAAATTACACAACTAACAATTCTATTATCGACCATCTAATGACTGTCCCACTACTCTGCTAATTGTATTATCATTCAAATCTTTAATTTAATGATAGACTGTTACATTTACCTTTTCATCCAAAAGGATGGAAAAGCAATGTATTTGCATAACAAGATACGATAAGCAATGCTTAAGAGGTGAGCATAAGAAGAACCTACAGAATGTAAATACAGGTCAGAGTGTTCAGTCAAGAAGACCTGACTTCCAATTATACCTTCAAATCCAATGAAAGGAGAAAATTAATCTGGGTTTGGTAAAGATCTCTCATAATAATGTGGCCCACCTCTTTTTATTTTACATGTTATCCACTCTTCCCCAAAACTGTGGGCAGCTACTCATTTTTGAGAAACACGTCTGTGACTCCAGTTAACAGTGCAAGGAGCTACAAGCAAGTAACTTAACTGTTTGGCTGTGTTAAGTTAGTCAGCCTGCAGAAAGCACAAAGCATGGAGACAACATCATCACCTCTGCCACTGCAGTAAGTACACCTCCAGAAAGTGACAAAGTCATAAATCTCTAACTCTTCTTGTGCTGTATTCCAGAATTTACATCTATTGCCAACAAGTCCAACTGGGTGAGCACATTACTTCTGAATGACCTCTGGAAAGTTGTTAGAGACAACGTCTTCAAAGGCAAATACTATTTCAGCCTTCAAAAATGGAAAAGTGCAAAAAACCCATGACAACCTACAAGCATGAATGCTGTCCGCATCTTGGTAAGTTCCTCTTAGTATGGTTAAACTCACCTGAGACAGAACAAACAATGTGCTTTGCATTGGGCCTTAGACAATTTCTCAGCAAAATATTTCAGGTTATTTCTCCCAGATTACCCAAGGCTCCTGACTTTCTTTCACAGGCTTTTTTAGATTTTAAGATTCCTGATTTCAAACTTAGGAATTAGAAGCATCACACAGATCTAGGCTATAAGAGACACAAAGTCATAATTTTCCAGATAGCTCTATCTTCCCTCATTCTCTTACTTTCTTTGATCTCAAAGGACACCAATAACAAAAGAAAACAGGAACAAGTCACATACGAAATTCATAAACATCAGCAACAACATTAAGGCAATGCTTACAGTGATGCAGGACTCCTAGATGAGAAAACAGGCTTTTGTAGCCAAGTTGAAAGATTTCAAACTGCTAATGTTACACTGGGTGTTTCCTGAAAAATAATCAGGGATAAAACAATCACATCCTTGAATTAGATAGCTGCTGAAGAAATTTATGACATTTATACATCTCAGAAACATGATTGTGATATGTAAACGAGACAGCTAGTAGTAATTCTAAAATCCTTGCTGAACAGAGGAGAAACTTTGACAGTATACAACACACAGCCAAGAATAACACCAAATTCCTGTCACTGTCAAGACCATAAAAATGAGGAGTAACATCTTAGCTGATCACCATTATTAGCTGGATTAAGAAAACTAAGTTTGCAACTACGATCACCACCTTAAAGTTTTTTATAACTTTAATACAAAAACCACGATACTTGAAGAAGTGATATTTGGCAGAAAGCACTTGTCTTAGGAAGAATGTTTGAGAAATTCAGTATCAGTACAAGACTCCAAAAGACAAAGAGAAGACTATTCCTCGCATATGTCTGCTTCCCCCCTCCACCTGCAACTTTTTCACCTTGACCACAGAAGCCTCAGAAATCACCAGCAGCTACCACACAGGCAACGAACAGGCAATTTTTCACTGGTGGTGCCTAGAAAGAGAGAGGCATCCCAACTGAACGCAGGAGTAAAAGCAGAGCTCTTCAATAAATGTGTCACTGGACTAAAATGCCTACACCTAGACTTGTTTATCATACAGTTTGAAGCACATCTCTGACCTATGTCTTACGTAATGTCCCTGAATCACTCTGTGGAGACATCTCACATCTGCCTAACGGAGGTTTGAAAGAAATTTGGGCCATCTATATAAAGACCAGCAAATTCAACTGCTATTCTAGGAGAAAAGGAACATCTGAACAGTGGAAGGCTACATTTCCTTCAGTTTTCTAATAGCCCTAATCTACAAAACATCTGAATTAATTTCCTATAGGAAAGTCCTAATTTCTTACAGACAATGCTATAACAATATGCTACTGACCGCTTCTGAGAGGCCCTCCTCTAAGGATACACATACAGAGGAAAACAAATGAAGCCTAGAACACAGAGTGAGTTGTTATAGGCTTTTGATCTTTTGGACTGGGTAAGACATTCCAGCAAATATTTACTACTTCATTCACTGAACACTGTAATGTAACATTCAAGTCTGTACACCTGCAAGCTGGAGCCAGAAAACACTTAAATGGGGAAAACAAAGGGAGCGTATGAGACTCAGCAATGTTGATTCAGACTCGTGAGAGGCAAATCAAGACCACAGTAACAGTTGACTCCTAGAGAATGCAAAATTCACATCCAAAACCAGTTCACTGTCACCAGGCAAGAGGTTAGTAGGACGTGGAGTAAGGACTCAGAAGGTTACATCCCTTGTTCTACACATCGCTGGAAGAGAAAGCTAACATAAACACAGAAGAAAGCTGCAGAAGCATGGTGTGGGAACGACTGTTCCAAGACTGAATGGGCAGCTGTTGCCTTAAAGGATAAAGCAAGTTGGCAGAAAATAGCCCTCCTTGCATCCTAGCTTGTCCTCAGGTATCAGAGAGGCTGGTGAAGGCTGGGCTTAGATTCTAAGCAACGCCCAGTCAGTGTTAATAGTCTGGACTAGTAAGGTGATGCACTTGCAGACTAGTGGTGTTCCATGAAATCTCACGGCCAGACTAATGCAGTCTAGCGGTGTTCAGTAACAACTCCCCCAGCTAGATTAATCTATAATGCAGTTTATTAAAGCAAAAGATGCACTAATTCTTTGACTGCCGGTGATAAAGTCACTGCATGTAAAGCACATGCAAGTAGCAAGAATATGAATACCACAGCCTGGCTTCAAACCCATTAAGTTATAAAACAACTATATAGATATTCCCAAGTTTCCCAGGGAGGCACTTGGTATATCAGAGTATTTGAATCTTACCCAAACGCATCCCTACAGGGGGCAAAGAGAGGCTCAGCCAATCTACTGATCCCAGAAGTCAGAGGTGGTCTGTGGCGGTATCTTCCCTGACACCCCTCATCTCTTAAACCATTTTTATACTATTTTTTATCATTCAAATGGAGCTGGAGTGACTTTAGGCATATATACCTTGGTTATGATTGGTGTAAAATTTTTTTCACTTTGCTTTAAAAAGGTGTAGACTAGGAAAAACTCAGAGTGCAGGCTGAGTGAGGAGTAGTCACAACTCGAAGGTGGGTAGCTTTTGGGGTGGAGGTGTGCTTTGGTATTATAATATGATTATAATGAGCATAGTTCACCCAAAGGACAGTATTTTGTCAAAAAAAGACAGACTGTTGGCCCAGGCTAACAAATCTGCAGCTTATCAGTTCCATGGTATCTTCAAGTTCCATCCATATTCACAGAGCCTGGCTGCGGTATCTCTGCTCCACTCCACCCTCCATGTAGTTTCTCTTGGAGTCAGTACATCAAACTCACTGATGTTACTAACATCTAAGGTTGCCTAGGGAACTTCTGTGAAATGGATTCCTTGCATACCAGCTGCACTCCGCCCTGGAAGCTTCCTTTTAGTATCGTACCTTTTTCTAGCGTGTGGACAAGGCTGTACCTTCAATATAAATTTAATTTCCAAGTCACCTCCAGCAATTATTCCACACATGCATTAACAAAAAGAGCGTTTTCACTTGAAAGCAGTGTTTGGGGCAGCACCAGCAGAGAATCAAGGTTGCTGAATCAGGGTCCCGGGTTGAGTTGGGAACTGGTAGATGGCTGCTTCTCCTTGGAACCAAAGGCAGACACCAAGGAGCCACTACCTTGAAAAGGGCACTCAAGGCAGCAACATCAGCACCCAACAGCTCTTTCAGCAGCCAACACCTTCTCCTGCCTCGCTCCAGGCACTTGTCCCCTCAGGGAGACTGGTACCATGTCTGGAAGGAGAACTGCACCAGAATGCATCCCCATCACAGGTGCTGGGATCCCTGAGCTGCCAGGGAAGAGGGTCCAGTTGACTCAGAAGCATTTGAGCCTGACTGCCCATCCAGTCCTTCTACTTTTCTTTGTTACCAAAGACTTCAGCCCGCTCACCCTCAGGCAAGGCTGGGCACCCTTTCCTGCCTAACCCTTGCTGCTTTGGATCTGACCTTCTGTGAGTCCATAGATTGCCTCAGAGCAAGCTGAAGCTCTGCCCAAAACCTCACAAAATTGATAAGAATAACAACACCTGTAATGTGTTTAGCTGTATTACTTTCCTACCTTCCCATCAGAAATGTGTAGCACAACCAGAAGAGAGATCCGTTCTCTGGGACAACATCTAGTTTTAGCCCTACAAGCTCTCCTTCCAACGCTCTGCTTTTTCAGTTTCAGTCATTTAATATTGCACAAGTTCTGAAAAAAAATGACAGTATTTCCATTTCAAAGAGAAACTATAGAAAAAGAGACTCCATAACCAAACTCTTCCCTGCACTCGACACCCTTGGGAGGGCGTGGCACAGACATCAGTCCTGGCATTGCAGAGCCAGGACCTGATGACCACACTTTCCACTGCTGAGTCACATAAGGAGTAACGAAAATGTGGGGGTAGTATTGTATTATACGATATTTTCAAGCACACAAAGGAAAGAAGCAGCACAAAAGGGAGTAGAGGTGGGATGCAGTGACTGGTCAGCAAGTCCAGATAGTGC